GCAAAATGCTGAAGGAAGCCATCCAGGCTGAAAATGGGCTGTGCTGCCCTCCCACATCCGATTTTGGCCTGCAAAGTACTGCAGGTCGTCCAAGCCAAAAATGAGCTGCGCAACAGCTGCATGCAGCCCCCCCCCGTGCCATTTTGGCCAGCAAAGTATTGCAGAAGGCTGTCCAGGCCAAAAACAAGCCACGCGGGGGCTGCAGGTAGCACCTCACCTCACACCCCATTTTAGCATACGAAGTGCTGCAAGAGGCCGTCCAGGCCAAAAACGGGTTGCATAGCAGCCATGTGTGGGTCCCCATGCCCCATTTTGGCTAACGAAGTGCTGCAGAAGGCTGTCCAGGCCAAAAACGTGTCACATGGGGGGTTGCACACACACCCCTGCTCCCCATTTTCGCCAGCAGTGCTGCAGAAGGCTATCCAGGCTGAAAACGGGCTGCACAGCAGCCTTGCGTGCCCTCCTGCACCCACTTTTGGAGGCTACGTGGGGGGGCCCCACGCTATTTTGGCTACCAGAAACACTGTGGGCTGGTCATTTACTGTTTCCAGGCCGTACTTGTTTTGAGGATCTTCTTGTCATTTGTTTCTGTGACCATTGGAAGTTACAATGGCACTGGAAAAAAGTGACTTATGACCTATCCTCGCTCTCATGACCATTACAGGATTTTCATGGACATGTGATCATAATTTGGGCAGGCATTTACAACAGCTGCAGTTTCCCAGGATTATGTCCAGCTGGCGTCCACCAAGCAAAATCAATGGGAGAAAAGTATTCACTTAATGACTGCTGTGACTCCCTTAACTGCACTGATTCACTTAACAACTATGGCAAGTTGAGGACTACCTGTATTGCCTTTAGGTTGACATTGTAACACATTCAATGTTGGAACCAGTAATGTTTAAAAGCAGCATTTACTTTCAGTTTTCAATTCTCCTTTACAAGAGTTGTTTACAACTGAATAACCACATTCAATTCTCTGTGTCACTTGGATCCCCATCGGGACATTACCATTCTAGCAGGGAGGGAGGCTTGTATACCCCTTTACCAGGGGTGGAATCCGACAGAGTTAACTACTGGTTCGGTGATTTACGTGGTTCAGTGATTTACGATGTGCTTCCCTGCACGCTGTGTGTGCGCCTGTAAATCATCATCAGCCTGATACCTGGACAGCTAAAGCGCTGCATGTCGAGAAGCAGGCTTTGAAAAACTACTTTTTTCCTGCTTTTTTAATTGCAGCTGTGCCTCACACGGCAACTGAAGTTGAAAAAGCAGGAAATAAAGGTCAGGTAAGAGTCCGGGCAGGCGGGTGGGCAAAAACATCAGCAGACATAGAACCGGTTCTATGTCTGCTGCTCTTCAGAGCTACCGGTTCTACAGAGGTGGACAGAACCGGTAGAAACCCACCCCTGCCCTTTACAACCCCTTTCCGGTTTCTGGTCCTTCTGTCACTTTGATGTACCTGTTTGGGAAAGGGAGAGTGAGGGGTTGACCTTGGGCCATCTGTTTTGTCTCAGCTCCGAAAGAATGGGCAAAGCGGTGCTTAAGAACAGCTTCTTATCACCTTCTCAGCTTGAGTTCTCATAACAACTTCACACCTGTGGCTTGGCTCACCTCGGACTGGACATAGGGGAGGGGTTTTCAGCAACATTTAACCTAACCACTCTAAGCGGGAACTTCAGATCCTGCCTTGCTTTACTTGCTATCACTTTCTCTCAATAAAAGTTTCCTTTTGAAAAAATGCCTGTTTCAAGAGTTCTGCTTTCTTGAAGAGAGAGCAGAGGCAAGTACTTATACTCTGCTTCTTCCTCCCTTTGCTCATTTGACTGAAATATGCATAAATCATATCTACAAAATCACAGTTTTAAAAATTAAATTAGTGGTTATCTTAAACATCATGTTTGAAGACAATGCTCAAACTGCGAACAATTTCCAAAAGGGAGAAATCTTTAACAATGATAAAAATGTTTCATTTAGTCTAATTACTAACCCTTAAGCTTCCACGGCTATGCACGGAAACATGATCATCTTCATCTGAAACCTAAGAAAAAGTAAGCAAAAAAGTCACCAATAAAAGAGATATTTTTCACATACAGCTATTTGCCAACTTACAATCACAATTTATAGGCTGTTAAATGCGTTGCACCTGATTTTATGAAGTTTTTTTGTTATGGTTGTTAAGCGAATCAGCGTAGTTGTTGCGTCACAGGACATTAAGGAAATCCATCCTCCCCCATTGACTTTAGTTTTTATACGACAATATAATACGGCAAATCAAAAATGGCAATCACATGACCCCAGGACTATGGAACGTAAATACAAGCTGGTTGCAAGCACTCAAATTTTGATCATTTGTCAGAGTTGGTGCTTCAAGTCATAAATGCAAGGACCCATCATAAGCCACTTTTTTCAGTACTGCTATAACTTTGTACAATTGCTAAATTAATGATTTTAAGTCAAGGATTACCTGCACTGAGTTAGTATGATGCAAAAAGTCCTCAAATAATTACATAATTTGAGTCCTGAACATCCTATCTCCATTTAAAGTAAAACAAACTTTAGAAAACTATTTAAGCAATCATTCATTCACCATGTTTTTTACAAGAAACTAAAAAAACCTCGAACTAAGGCTAAAGGAAATGTATATTACCTACCAAAGCTCTTGTTAATTATTAGTATTAGTAAACATGTGCAACAATTTTAGCCATATCTGAGAGTGTACATCCAAACTGTATATATTTTCTTTTGCACAATCCCTTCACCATCATTAGCATTATATGTAGTGCTTTCAACAACTATGCTCATTGCATAGAATTTAAGCTTGGATTCACAGCACTTTTTTCTTAATGGTAAAGTATCATTCATTTGCAGGCTGTAGCTGTTCCACAATGCAAATTTAACCATGAAAACTAGAGGAAATTTGTGCAAGAACCTAGGTGGTCCTATCTTGCTCCTCATTTTCTTAAATTCAAAAGAAGTAATTGCTTTAATTATTTTTCAAAGACGACAAATATGGTTCAATATTATTCATTTTAAAATAAGTATTTCTTATACAAAACAAATAATACTAACCGAGGCATTTCTGGATTTATGGGAATAATGCTCATTGTCTTCCTACCAAATGCGAAAAAAAGGAAAAGAGGGAAGTTGTTTGAGATTCTACCACAGAATGTTATAGCAGCATGACAAGACAGCACAGAATCTTTTATGAAATAGAATTTCTACCCCAATTAAATCCAATTCTCACATATAGAAAACATTACAATCTTTTATATTAGAGGTTATGGAAACTTAAATCCTTCATAGCAAGAATATAATTTTTGTTTTAGTTCCATATCAGATTTGCTCCTTCCCGAATTACTTTCTGTTGTTCAACTTGTAACTGAATTATTTAAATAAATGTAATATAGCTGTATCAGATCATTCTCTAGGAACATGGAGGTTGCCTTTGAGTCAATGTTGATGCTCAGCAATGCCTGGACAAGTCCCTGCAGTTTTCTTTGCAAACTTTTCAGAAGTCATTTGCCCTTTCCTGCTTCCTAGGACTGAGAGAAAGTGGCTAGCCCAAAGTCACCAACTGGTTTTGTGGCTAAGGCAAGTCCAGAACCCAGAGTCTTCAGGATCCTAGTCTGATGCCTTAACTACATCAAACTGATTCTCTAAGAACACTACCAGTGACTAAAAGAGATAACTCAATTTTTCCAGGATTAAAATACTTTTATAAAACAGATCCAACAAAATTTTAATGTTTTTATGTATGAATTTTGAACTATCTTATGTATGTGAATGCAGTAAAGGTCTTTGATGTATAGTCTTGGGGATTTTTTATCTCAAAACCTTTGCAAAACCTTTTAACAGGGAGGTGTATACTTTCTATATATCCACTGTAATTGTAGGGGAAATATTTGAAGCAAGTAAAGCCTAAATATAGATTTCCTTCATTTTGACTTATTATTATTATTATTATTATTATTATTATTATTATTATTATTATT